GTGTTTAGATGAGAGTATGTAAACACGTTTGTGACGTTTTAGATTTGCGCGTATTTTTGAGAATTATTTTATTACGTCTCAGGTTTGCATAACTGTCTCAAATTCTCCGAACCCTCCTCGTGTTTAGATGAGGCTATGTAAACATGGAAAAAGTGTTCTATTGTTTAAATATGCTACTACACCTCTGTGGTGTACGCATATCCGAGAGAAACAGAGCTTAACATTCAAAATACTACCGTAGAGTCGTAGAGCTCTGGGAAAATTTCTACGCCTAATTATTGAGCTTCATATAACGGGCTGGGTATAAACGTGTTATATTTAAACAGTAAACCAACTGTTGTTTAGACTTTCAGAAAAGTCCTTCATCTTGTTTATTCATTACCTGCCAGACAAAGGACTTTTCATACTTGATTGCCACCAGTTTTAGCGACCCAAAAACGAGTCGCTATGCTTCGACCAATCAGTTACCATGAATATCCCTTGGGGACAGAACTTTCAACGAAACATGACTTTGGCTGAATTCAATATGGGTTTGATTGCTAAAGCCATCAAAGAAGCCTCACAAGCCTCATAATATTCTGTATTGCGTGACTTCCAGCACAAGACAGTGGAAGCGTATCTGTCCAGAAGAATGTGTTTGTTTCTGCCCTAACCAGAGGTGGGAAAAGCTTGACTTCAGAGCTAGCTCTGCACACTTTTGATTTTTTAAATGGAGATAATAGCTGCAATAGCAACCCCGTTGTCTTGGTGCATGTGGTTCTACTGATTTCGCTCATGAAAGATCAGGTCTCAAATCTAAATTCCTGTTGAATTTCAGCATCTTACCTAGGTGATTGTTCACAACAACAGTTGCAGACATTTTAGTTATTATAAGTATCGATACGTTCCACAGTTCAAATTAAACTAGAAAGGTAATCTGAGACACCAGTTACAAGTCATGCCAGTCCTCTTTTTTGCCGCAAAATGTAAATGAAAACCCTTCAAGCAAGACAAGTCGACCGGTCACTTCACGACCAGCCCTTCACACTGACACTTTGCAGCCTAAAACCTTGCAGCTCGGTTCGCTCGCTTAGCTACCTTGAAACTCATGATGTCGACTAACTGTTGTTATGATCGTTATTTTAGACCAGATGTGGACCAGCAGCCACAGCTCCCCCAAACCAACCATGCTCCAGCCATGATGACATTTAAGCAGTTCTTAAATGCTCAAGATGACAATATTAGTGATGAAGAAGCTTTCAAAAAGTATCAAGAATACAAACTGGAGTTCAGAAAAACTCAAATGAGTGACTTCTTCCAACAACACAAAGAAGAAGAGTGGTATGTAGTTACATCACATGATTTATTCCTGTCAGTGTCCTTGGTACAAAAATTATCTAAAGAAGCTGTTCTTGCTTCACCAATTAGAACATTTACATGTAGCAAGGACAAGATAGATTGAGACCTGCATTCTTGTATGGGTCACGAGTTTTAAGTGGTGCTTATGTACAGTACCGGTCAAAGGGATTGCAGCACCTACAGGCACGTGAAATGCATGTAGTTTGCGTGTAGTATTCGTGGACACTGCGTGTGAGGTGCGTGTAAGGTGCGTGCAGTTACACGCATGTAAAATTTACTGATCTGGTAGTTACACGCATTTGCATGTAATTTCACCGGTATACATGTATTTTAATTGGTGGAAGAAACCTTTATTATTCATACACGTATTTGCGTGTATTTTGCAAAACAAAAAGCCACTACTAACTTGTATTTGATATACACAACTCTCAATGTTCACAACAAAAAGTAAATTTAAAAGCCGACAAGCATTGCTAAATTAGTGAACTAGCTTGAGCGCCTATCAAACAAATACTCTTTCCTAATTTGTAGCAGCCCGTACTTCTGCTTAACCTCTCTTACAGATCTCTGAGCTTTCATTTACATAAAAACACATACATCGTACCACGTACCACGTATGTCACAACAATGTTTACTCACACACGAAATGTCATTTCAACTCCTGTTCTTTCAATAACAATGAAATAAGGATTCAAACAGAAACTCGCGAACTCTCTCTTAATCTTAAACGGTGAAGAATCAAAACATTTTTCTAACAAAATCTAAGCGTTCGATAATTTTCAATTCCTCAGATTCACGTGTAACTTTCTGACAACAACCCGCAATGTTTACACCCAGCTTGTTTGATTATTTGGCTTAGATTACAATACAGTTGACTACCGATAAGCTAGATTCAAGAAAAACATTCAGATTTTCATCCCTGGGTTAAGTCTGGTTGACAGATCGTCTCTTCTCTGTATATGTATATGCTTATGGAATAAAATGAAGTAGTAACTAATTTAAAACAACTTTCACACTACACAGGATTTCTGCCTGGGTAGATTTTGTTCATGTGCTAGGCAACGCTATTCAAGAAACAGATCGAATTTCATTTTTATTTGATCAAANGTGATCCAATCCGTGATCCAATCCAGTCCAGTCCAGCCCGATCCTGGTTTTGTCAACGCCGTCCATTGGAAAATATCCTAGTACCTTGAAATTCATGTGAAAGGAGTTTGACACAAACATACACATGATCTTAATTCTGAATCTGGGGTTCTCTTCCTCAGAAAGTAGTGATTTCATGCTATTATCTTCTTGCTATTAGTTGTTATCAAGTTAGAAGGAGGTACAGACAGTGATTTGGCTGTGTTGGACTGTCCACCCACTCCCCCTCCTGAACGAAGGCGGTCTTCGTCTAACCCTTTGATGTCTCCACATGCTGATGACATGACAGATTTGTCAGCTGAAGGGAAGAAGGAAGGGACTACTGACTTGTCAACAGAACCAGCAGCTCTCCAGACTGGCAAGGACAACAAAAATGGTAACTTGGAAACATCTTTGTAACATCTCGTATATATAATTATGCCTTTAACAGCCATTCTTATTGAGGAAAAGTGCCCAGGACAACTAAACAATAATAATTACTTTTGGCCAAAATGTTGTTTAGTTGAACTGCACTATTTCACATTCTCAGGGGAAAAGAGACCAAGTTTGAAATACCAGGGGGTCAAATCAGTAGATGTGGCTAATCGGTAAAAGGCGGCTGATTTTGTGGGAATTTTCTGGGCAAATTTTGCTGGAAAGCGGTTTTGCCCTGATTGATGAATGTTTCTAATGAAAAAAGATGGCAATTTTGCTATTTTTTGGGAAAATGATGAGCTTTAGCCTATCCAATAACAACAGCAACAGAAATCTTACCAAATACATGTCAGTATTAATAATATATTTGAAACTTATCTTAGCTATTGGGGCTGTTTACTTGCCGTAAACTTGCAAATTTATTGTGAAACTTCATCACTGCAGCAAGTAGACAACATCCCAAAACTACTAGGTGTTCTAAGATTAATGCTGCAAAAAACTGGGAAGTGGCCATGATGTAAAAAGCTTTGCCATTGGCGTATTTCTTGAGCACACTCTTGTTAAAAGAGCAAATGATGATCTATGTTAAAAAGAACCTTGTGGTCAAACAAATAGCAAACATGTACAATAGTCCAAACAAGTTGCTCAAATTTTTCTGCAAAATTGCCAGTTTTAGAAAGGCAACACTTACAAGTAGTTGGGGTTTCTAGCGAATTTCACAATATTTTGTATGTTTTTGTGAATTTTGCGGGATTTCACAGATTTGCTTTGAAATTCGCAGCCCTGCAACCACGCAAAATTTTAGAAGCCCTGTATAGTAAGTGCATGGATCCATTCACAACTGGTAGTAATATTTTCCAAGAAAGTACAAGTCCTGTAAACCATTGCCAACCTGCCCACCTTAAGTTCAAGAAACTACTGCTGTGTTAAATATTGATTTAGGATCAATGAATGTTTTATTATTATCAGATAACATTACTGAGGCTGGCCCTGTATCCCCATCAGCTGTTCCTCTACCTTCTGCCCCTCCACCAGCATCAGTAAAAGCAGCATCAAAAAAGAAAGAGAATGGAGGTGTGAAGGTTATGTCTGTGGCTAATCCATCACCTGAACAACAAAAACTGCAGCAGCAGGCCCAAGAGTACTATCACCAACAACAGCTCTATTACCAGCAACAGGTACAGACTGTGTTCCCTCTTATCCAGTTGACACAATCACCTAAATTACAACAAATATTAAAACAGCTTAACAACACTTTGAGACAGCTGTTGAGCCGTTGACATGAAACAAGTGCAAAGCTCAGGTTTTGGTTTTATATTTGGCTATAGGTGACCCAGTTTTTGTGACAGGGTGCTGAAAAAAATCCCAGTATGGCTCTCACGCAGGTTGATGAGATATATGTAATCTCCCCGACTAGGAATTTTTGGAACATAAAATTTTCATTTATACATTTGGGTTGGGACACCCGGTCTTAATGAGCATAGATTTTGAAGATTTAACGTCTCTGTTTATCCTCCTTATTTTTTATTTATTTATTTTTTTTTTTGATTGAGAAGATATAATTTCTCAAACTCATTAATAATTCAGCAAGTTTAAACAAAGGAAACCATGACCATGACAGTGTTTGGATATATGGTCATAATTAGTATAGATTTTTACGATTTAATTTCTCCTTTTTCTCCTAAGTTTTGGTTTCAGTTGAGAAGATATATCAAACACTCAGGACAGTGTTTGACCACATTTCCAAACACCTTGAAGTTTGTCAAAAACACTCTGCTGCATGTCCTATTTTCAACTCTCTTCTCAGTGTTTGGAAATGTGGTCAAACACGGTCTTTTTTGTTTGATATATTACATCAAACACTCAAGACAGTGTTTCATCAGCTATCCAAACACCTCAAATTTCATTAAAAATACTCTGCTGCACGTCATATTAATTTTTTTTACTCTCATCTTGGTGTTTGGATATCCCAATGAAACACTGTCTCTCATGTTTGATATGTTACTTCAAATTCCAAAACTTTGATGGTAGACGTGATTCAGGTTGTCAACTTTTCCATGTTTTTATGTTGGCATTGACATTATGACCCTGCACAGTTGGGATCTGGCAAAAATCCTTCACACTTCATAAAAATTCTGGATTAAAGAAAAAATTATTCTTGAAAACACTTCACCAGCCTGAACAAACAGTGTAGAGTTTAGACAACATCCTTCCTTCTCAGCTATAAAATTCACCGAACTCTTTTACAAAGTGATCTTCTCAAAGCATGCCCTGAATGGTGCCAAACCCTCCCTCCCCTCCCCCCACCTTAAAATGAAAAGAAAACTCCAGATTTATGACTTAAGGACGGTGCCTACTTTTGTTAGTGCGCACACGTTCTGCGCGTCACGCAAGGCATGGTTAAAGCGCCACGCGCACGCTGGGTTGACATGATGCAATCAACTAAGCTACCAAGTATGCAACTAAATTGACAGCAAAATTTTCCTATTGTGACCAAATCAAGTTTAATGAACCTGTACTTAAACCAGGAGCACCAGAACAGCAGCATATCGCTAACCACTAACTGTTAACTTCTTCCAGCTGAAAAACTAGCTGTTATCTGTCGAAAATTATACTGAAATCCAACTGTAAACATGTACCTGCAGATGGCGAAGTGAGCGCGCAAAACAAGTGCGAGATACGCAAATGTTTTACTTACTGGGGAGGTGACAGGAAAAAATGTAACAGGCATCATAAAAAGTTTAAAAAAGGATCAATAACTTTAAAAAACACATGGTTACCCCTACATTTTATGTTATGAAATGAAAGTGGCAAGCCTATTCAGCAGGTGATTAGTTTCTGGTTGTGAGCAAAAGATATTTAGACTGTATTTTAGCTGAAACAGAGGAACGCTATCAGAGACACTAAAAGTGCTGTTGCAATGATTTTGTTGTTAAAAACATACCAAAAATGGTTTTTATGTTACCATTTACCATGTAGTTTTCAGATCTTTGTAAATGTGTTTGCTTTTCTGTTTGTAAAGGCGAATTCTAAAGAAAGCTGAGAAGAAATATCCTCTCCTATTTTCAGAAAAACGCTGATGTCAGCATTTTTGTTGAGTTTCAAGGCTAATTATCTTGAAAAAATGTGTGGCTACCCTCTTTTTTCTTTTTGGATTCCGATAGGCCTTGCAAAGATCTACTTTTTCCGCAAGGTCCTTACCTGGCGCAAAAACTTTTGTATTTAGTATGCACCGTCCTTAAAAAACTGGATTTTGTTCCTGCAGGGAAACAGTGGATTCATAACATCACAACTGTCCAAACTGTTCACTGTTGATATTATTATTTATTGAGATTTATTCCATGCATTCATTGACATACATCTGGTATTTCTTGTAGTACTATGGTAACTATGATGCTCAACAGAAACAACAACAAGACCAATACTCTAACAAATATTCACAGAATCAACAACAACTACCACAGACATCCCAACCAAACAAGGATCAATCTGCCCAACACCAAGCTACTAAAAAGGTGAGTTGTTATGGACTTAGCTACAGGTCACACTTTACCTTCACTTTGCAGGGTGTAATGCTTCCACCCAGTTTTATCCCAGGGAGTGTCCAACAACTTTAGTCCCATTTACTGCCAAATGTTTGTGTGGTTTTCTTGTGTATTTATAACAAGCAATTATTACACGGCTCGAAATTGCGACTCACTGGTCACCAATGCGACCAAAAATTGAACACTGGCAACTAAATTTTCAGAACTGGTCGCCAGCTGGCGACTCATGTTTTGTCCGATAACTAAAGAAAACCACGACACAACTTTATTTTTCAATCTTTATTTTAGGAAATCAATCGGATATGGTAGCTAGTATACAACTCACCTTTCCGTCCCCGGTAAAACAATGTCTGAATATTACAAGATAATCGAAAAAATTGAATGTATTTCGACACGTCGATACTGCGTTCACTGCGCGCCATATTGTTTCAGCGGCTTCTTCCGAAACTGGGATCGCAGGCGCACTTCAACACCATGTGCTTTTCATTTGCCGCGAAAATGGCAGCAGATAC